TTGATTTGGAAGAAGCCAAACCCAAGGTTATAAAATATCCTGAGTTGCCAAGGCCTCTTCAAGTTGAATCCGCTTATAATGAAGTTGATTGGGATGAACTGGCAGAGGAAGCCGCTTGGTATCATGACCGAGACGGGCCACCAAAGGTTCAGCGCCCTCCGCCATATAGCACTGATCCCAGCGCGCCTCCTTCGGCATGTTCAGCTTCTGACCCCAGAAAGGAATTAAAAAGTAAAATTGAACTTCTCAAAGAACAGATAAAATTAGAAAAAGTGCACCAAGACCTCATAATTCAATTAGAAAGATTAAAAACAGGGAAACCCAAAAGTGAAAGTACAACTGGAACAGAGGCACCCTGTGTTCAAAGGCCACCCGTGAGGGGCGCTATCCCCCAAAGCTTCCTCCTGTTGGACCCACCCATAGATCTAGACAAAGCAGAGGTATTTCCGGTATCAGAAATAACAGGAGAGGGGGCTGGGGAGATGGCTCCGTAGAATAAGCACTTGCCTGGCAAGCACAAGGGCCTGAGTTCAATCCCTGGTTCTGAAAAAAAAAAAAAAAAAAAAGTTAATTATGGGCTGGAGAGATGGCTCAGTGGTCTAAAGCACCTACTTGAAACAAGCTTGGCAAAGCACAGGGACCGCGGTTCGATCCCCCAGCACCACATGCCAGCCAGCCCCGCCCCCTGGTGGGCTGAGCTGGCCACACACACACACACAATAAATAAATGTAATAAATAAAAATAAATAAATAATTAAAAAAAAATAACAAGAGAGGGGCCAGGGAGATGGCTCAGTGGAATAAGCACTTCCCTGGTGAGGGCCTGAGTTCAATCCCCGGTTCTGCAAAAAAAAAATAAAAAAATAACAGGAGCTCAAGGACAGATAGGGCTCCATTACACTGGTTTTGATTTTAAAGTTTTAAAAGAACTAAAAACAGAGGTTGCCCAATACGGAGCCATGGCTCCATACACCGCAGCCATTTCAGAAACTGTGGCTGACATTTAGCTTACTCCCGAGGACTGGCAGGCGTTAGCCAGAGCCACCCTCGGGGGTGGGGGGGATTATCTCCTCTGGGGGTCTTCCTGGTGCAGGGAGGCATCCACAATGATAGCTTCACTGTTGATGTTGGATTTGTTACCTTCACCAGCTGCAATCAAACATTTAACTATAGTGGCCCTGTCTGCCCAAAAAAGGGACATGTGTTTATATGTGGAGGAAGTTTAGCCTTCACATATTTACCTACCAACTGGACAGGACTATGTGTCATGGCTACCTTGTTGCCTGACATAGATGTCCTATCTGAGAAAGAGCCCGTGCCCATTCCTAGCTTTGACTATGCCACGGGCAGCACTAAAAGGGAAGTTCAGCTTATCCCTCTGCTGGTAGGACTGGGAATTACAGAAGCCTTGAGGACAGGTACAGCAGGATTAGGAGTTGCAGTGCATTCTTATACCAAACTGTCTAATCAGTTGATTGATGATGTACAAACACTGTCCAGTACCATCCAAGATCAAATAGATTCTTTAGCAGAACTAGTCCTACAGAATAAAAGAGGTTTAGATCTCTTAACAGCAGAACAGGGAGGGATCTGCTTGGCTTTGCAGGAACACTGCTGCTTCTATGCAAACAAGTCTGGCATTGTTCGAGATAAAATAAAGAGACTTCAAGATGATCTTATTAAGAGGAGAAGAGAGCTATCTGAAAACCCCTTTCAGGGGACTGGGGAGATGGCTCAGTGGAATAAGTGCTTCCGTGGCAAGTGCAAGGGCCTGAGTTCAATCCCCGGTTCCGCAAAAAGAAAAAAAGAAAACCCCTTTTGGGGCGCATGGGATGGAACACTAGCCTACCTCTTCTCCCTTTTGGTACCTTTGATTGGACTATTAATGCTTTTATCAATAGGACCCTGTCTTTTCAATAGGCTGATGACTTTCATTAAACAACAATCGGCTGCCATTAAGATACAACCCATACAGGTCCATCACCACAGGCTTGAGATGGCCGACAAAGAAAGTTGTGCTGAACTCGAAAGAGTACACTATGATGATGCCCAATCCAGGTAAAAAGATTTTCTCACCTTGGTGCGATGGACTGGATAGCCAGAGACAGGCAACTAGAGGCTCACATGCGGTACCAACCGCCACCTAAGACCTGAGGGCCTTCTGCTGCCCTGCCTTCCTATGACAGGAAAGGTCTGGTTTGGTCCCGTGTGAAAGCATCTTGACCCAAGACAGGCACAGTCCCCTCAAGGAATAATGGCCTTTAAAATTTTAAAGAAAAAAGCGGGACCTGTGGGAAACCTGTGACTGGTATCTATTTTATAATAGTGTCAGCCATACTCTTAAGTTTTTATTCTTCTGCTGAGCTAAGCTTCTATTCCCTCTTACACCGCCTATTTGCCGTAAGTCTGCTACGCTCCGGGGGTGGGACCTTCTTCTGTTGCCTGGATACCTGCTGATGGCAAGAGCAGAAACTTCTTCGTTCCTACACCTTTTATATGCCCAGCACCTCCCCTAAATAAACGAGACTTGATCAGAATTTGTCTTGTCTCCATTCTTTTCAGACTTTTTTTTTTTTTTTTTTTTTTTGGTGGAACCGGGGATTGAACTCAGGCCCTTGCACTTGCCAGGCAAGCACTTATTCCACTGAGCCATCTCTCCTCATCCTTGTCTCCATTCTTTGTGTCTCCTGTCCCTTCTCATCCTCACTCCCCCTCTAGGGTCCTCATTGACTAACCCGCGGGTCAGGACATGACAAAATACTTGAATTAGCTGAAAAAGGAGAAAAGAGCTATGGTGACACACCTTTGTCATCACAGCACTGGAAGGTTGAGCTGAGGCAGGAGGATCAAAATTCAAGCTTAGTCTGGACAATTCATAGACTTAGTGAGAACTTGTCTTAAAACAAAAAAGAAGGGCCGGGGAGATGGCTCAGTGGAATAAGCCCTTGCCTGGCAAGCACAAGGGGCTGAGTTCAATCCTCAGTTCTGCAAGAGCTGGGAATGTAGCTTAGTACAAAAGTTTAGTCCCCCTTAAAATGCACATGTGCATGTTCCCGCTAGCACCTACCCTCTAAGGGCTCCAGCACTTCCCAGTAGCAACACAGGCTGGTGATGAAGCCTCTGAAACAGGGACCTTTGGTAGACACTCAAGGACAAAAACCAGAATGATCTTGTTTGGGACATGTCATGGACATATTGTCCTACAACACATGGCCTTTGGGGTGTGACTTTTTTCTTTTTGTGGAGCTGGGGATTGAATTCATGCCCTTGTGCTTGCCAGGCAAACCCTTATTCAACTGAGCTATCTCCCTAGACCCTGGGGTTTGACTTCTGTCATGCAACATAATGTTTTCATGGTTCACTTGAGTTGTAATGTATGTCAGTTCTTCATTTGATACCAGTTCTTCATTCTGTTTTGTATCTGGATATTATTCTATCATGTGGATCAATCACGTTTTGTTTACTGACACATCTGCTGATATTTGGGTTGTTTTTATTTTTTGTCTAGTGTATGTGCTGCTTCTGTGAACATTTGTATACATGTATTTGAATGCTGCTTTTTAATTCTTTGGGGTAAATATTCATGAATGAAATTGCTGGATCATATGATAATTATGTGTCTAACTTCTTGAAGAATAAATAGACTGTTTCTCACAGTGGCTGTACTATTTTACATCTCAAAACCAAAGTACCGGAATACTGGTTTCTTTATGTTGTCACCAATATTTTTTATTTATTACTCTTGATTATTATCATTATTGTGCCTCTGTGAAATAGTATCTTTTGGGCTGGCAAGATGGCTCAGTGGAATAAGCACTTCTCTGGCAAGTGCAAGGGCCTGAGTTCAATCCCTGGTTCCGCAAAAAAAAAAAAAAAAAAAAAAAGTAAGAAAGAAATAGTATCTTTTTTTTTGTGTGTGTGGAACTGGGAATTGAACTCAGGCCCTTGTGCTTGCCAGGCAAGCACTTATTCTACTGAGCTATCTCTTTGGCCCCTGAAATAGTATCTTATCATGTGATTTGATTTGCATTTTCCTAATGACTAATGATGTTGAGCCTCTTTTCACATTTATTGGCCATTTGTACATCTCCTTGGAGAAACATCTATTCAAACTTTTGCTTTCTTTGTAGGGGGTTATGTTGGGAAGTGGACCCAGGGGCCTCAAGCACCAGGCTAACTTTTTACCACTGAGCTACATCCCCAGCCCTTTTTGCTCATTTTAAATTGAAATATTTATCTTCCTGTTCTTGAGTAGTGACAGTCTTTTATACTGAATACTAGACTCTTAGGAGATTCTTAATTCTGAAATATTTTTTTCTGGTTCTGTGATTTGACTTTTCACTTTCTTTTGATATTAGGAATCAAACTCAGGACATGACCTCAGACTTCTCAGGCAGGCACTTGTACTGCTAAGCTATATCTCTAGCCCTTAACTTTTTTTTTTTTTTGTGGTACTGGGGATTGAACTTGGGACCTTTCATTTGCCAGGTATGTGCACCTTTCACTTTCTTGATGATGTCTTTTTTTTTTTTTTTTTTTTTTTCTTAATGTACTTGGTTGTTACAGAGCCTCATTACACAGCTAGGACTAGTGGTGATCTTCTTGCTTTCAGTCTTCCCAGCACTGGGATTACAGGAGTGTGCCACTACGCCCCGCCCTGGGGGCAGCATGTGTTGCCGGGGATCAGGCCTTGGTCCCTGCACTTGCCTAAGCCTGCCTAAGCAGGCACTTTAGTCCACTGAGCTATCTCGATGGCCCCCATATATTTATTTTTATAGAAAAAAGATATATCTCTTTCATTAAAAAGCAGTTTGTCAGTTATTATCCTAAACCAGTGATAATTATCTCTGGGTGATTTGGCCTGCCACTATTGTGTATTGTTTCTGAATTAATCATGGTGAAATTTCTCGAGTCAGTTAGGACTTTACTAAGCAAGTATTCTAGGGCTGATCTATATCCTCAACCCCTTTTAGAAACTGATAAATGGAAAATGAAAGTTTTCAAGTATTAGTCATGTTATTAGGACTCCTGTGCATCCTGTAAAGCACCTGCTGTTTTGGCTATTCAGGGGCTTTCCCAATACACGTCCCTTGTTGGGACTTGCAGATGCCACCCTGCCCTTGACACCCCAGTAGCCTGTACCCCTCCTACTCTGGCTCTGTTTTGTTTCTTCCACTCTCGGGAGGCCATGCCTTGGGAAAAGGAAACTGAAACCGAAGGCAACTGGCCATTGGTGCAGGCTGCTGGAGACACCGCCCCATGACGTGTATGCCTTGGACTCATAAAGGGGCTGAGTCTGATTCAGCAGCGGGAGCCTCTGGGAGCTGAGAGGTAGACTACTTGCTGTTGCCTGTAGAGCACCTTGTGTGACGCCCTACAACCATGGTAAGAGAGACCTGATAGGCAAAGTCAACTTTCCTTCTCTCCCTTTGGGATCGCCTAGAGGGAGAGTTGCTCAGAGCTTGGCTGGATCCTTAGTATGAGGGGAAGGATGGGGCTTCAGCCCTGCTCTGTGGGCATCCCTGGAGCCCCTGGAGTAGGGCCAGTGCATCTGGATAAAGGAAAACCAGCTCTTCTTATGAAAAGGAAGAGGCTCTTCTCTGCCTCTTCCTGGTGGGTGGAGAGGACAGACGGAGCTGCATCCCAGGGCTTCTTGCGGCTCATGCCAAGTGAGTCTCTAAGTCTATGTAATACCCATAGGGCTGGGACCTGAAGGTGAAGATGCTGGCTGGCCAGGAGTTCCTGGTACACCTGACCAACTCCATGACAGTGCCAGAACTGAAAAGGCAGATCGCCAAGGAGACTGGAGTGCCTGCCTTTCAGCAGCGCCTAGCAATCCAGCCAAATAACAAGGTGCTGCAGGATGAGTTCACCCTCACCCAACAGGGCTTGGCCCCTGGCAGCATGGTCCTGCTGCTGGTGGAGGACTGCGAAAACCTCTTCAACATCCTTGTGAAGAACAACAAGGGGCAGAGCCGTTCCTATGAGGTCCAGCTGACACAGACCGTGGCGGCACTGAAGCAACAGGTTTCCCAGCAAGAGGGGGCACGGGAAGATATGTTCTACTTGAGCTTCCAGGGGAGGCCTATGGAAGATGAGCATATGCTGGGCGACTATGGTCTAGGGTCCCAGTGCACAGTGTTCATGCATCTGCGCCTTCGCGGTGGCAGGGGAGGGCCCCCTACTGGAATCAAGCTTTGGTAATAAAGATGGAAGCAGAGAAAGCACTGTCTGGTTGGCGCCACTCCACCACCAAACCCCATGGACCCACCTTCATCTCCATACTCCTGCTGAGCAGGTTGGGGTGGGAACCCAGGGCCACCCAGGTGACCAGGCTTCAGTGGCCAAGGTCAGGGACAAGGGCCTCCCAGTGACATCTTTTCTCCCTAGAAACTGAAGAGATGCCTCCATGCTCTAGAAAATTCACTCCTAGAAAAAGAGAAAGACACATCTTCCGGGGCCCCTCATGGGCAGGCTGAGCCACAGGCAGCTGCCCCTTCCCTGATCCTCTTGAGCCAGTGACCATTGTGTCTCTCCCATACCACCTGGGCTAGGGTCTGCCAGCTCGCTGTCCAGAGAGGGGCATGGGTTGGGGCTGAGTCCTGAACAGAGGATGGATGTCCAACAAAGGCCCCTCTTCAGAGCTCTGCCTAACGGAGAAGCTACTTGGAATTGGGGATTCATCTGTTCACCAAGGACAGCATGTCCCAGATGGGGTACCCAATTGGAATGTGCTTCACCGCCTTCCTCGTGGGATACTTTTCTCTTTCCCCCTGTCGTCTGGCAGGAGCCTGACTGACATTCAGGACAGGGCAAATCCCACAGGTATGCATGTCTCTTCCACCAACCCCAGGATTTGGCTTGAGACCCAGAAACCCTTTCTAGTGTGCATGGATGCCTATCTGGACCGGGGGACCCCTAGATACCGCCGTTCGGCTGGCCCCTGTGTTGAAATTGAATATCAAGGTGGTTGGTCCAGCCAGTGTGAGCGCAGACCCTCCTGTCCCTCCCTCCTTGAACTCTCCCAACCCCCCACCCCCGCCTCCCACTTTTCATTGCTTCTGACACTGAGACCTGTGTCATGTGCACGGCAGATCCAATCCTAACGAGACAGCGTGGTGAGCTTTCCTTCTGCCTCCAACTTCCCATAGGTCAGGTTTTCGCATGGACCCTCTGTGCCTCACTCTGTACCTAGGCCGCCTGAGCTGCAAGCAGCCAGAGCAAGCGGGGGCGTGGCCAGCTCCCCACTGGATCCGAGCTTGCGCCGCAGGACCGCAGGGGGCGCCCTGCTCCCTCGCGAGTCCGGGCCACTTGAGCAGGAGGTAGGCGGGGCCGCGCGCCCCTCAGGCCAGTAACTGTCCGCACCGGCCGAGGCCAACTCCGCGCCGGCCTGCTGTGGTGCCCGGCCCGCTGGCTTGGTCTGCGGTCCCGGCGTAGGTGGGGCGTGTCCCGGACTCCTGCCGCCCCCCAAACCCGACGGATAAGGCGCCGCCAAGAGCCCCTTGAAAGTCGCGTCACGTCGCCTCGGATTATGCATTAACCCGGCTTCATCCGCATTTCCTGGGGGGAAGGGCGTCCGCAGGGGGCGCCGGGCGGACAGAACCTGCCCCTCCCCCACGCTTCCCGCCCCTCCCCCAAGGCCGGTCCCGGCGCCCCCGCCCCCCAATCTAGCCAGGCGCGGCGGTCCCCTTGCTTTGTTCGCGGCCGGCGCGGGTCGCAGGGCGCGGGACGGGCGGGGCCCTGCGGGGGGAGGGGGCGGTGCCTCCGGGTCCCGCCCCCGCCACGCCCCCGCACCGCCCCGCCGCCGCCCGGAGCCGCGTCCCTTCGGTCCAGTCCTGTCCCCGGCGCGGCCCGGCCCGCGGCTCCCCGCGTCGCCATCCCCGTCCCTTCCGCGCTATGGCCCGTTTGCGGCCGTGCGACCCGGCCCCACTACTGTTGCTCCTGCTGGTGGCGGCGCTCGCCCTGCCCGGCGCCCGCGGGACATGCCCGGAGCGCGCGCTGGAGCGGCGCGAGGAGGAGGCGAACGTGGTGCTCACCGGCACGGTGGAGGAGATCCTCAACGTGGACCCGGTGCAGCTCACGTACTCTTGCAAGGTGGGCCACCCTCACCGCACCCCCGCCTCGCGGGCCGGGCCCCTCCCCCGCGCGCCAGCCGCTCTGCGGGACCCGGGTCCTGGGCGTGGGAACGCATCCTGGACGCTCCGCAACCCCCGCTTGAGCTCCCTTGGCGACCGCCAAGCCTCCGGGTGGGGCACCAGGTCCCGGAAAAGTCTAGAGCGCTGGGGGAAAGTTTCTGCAGTGTTGCTGCGGTCCCGCCCGCGGGGTCCAGGCCCGAGATGCAGTGGGGGGGGTGCCCTTCCGCCCGAGCCACCCTTCGTCAGAACAAGTGCGCCTCCCCCTGCGACTTTCTCGAATCCACCGACCAAAGACAAGGACAGGTTGCGGCATCCCTCTCCACCGACCAAAGACAAGGATAGGAGCTAGTGTGGTCCGTGCTGTCCTCCACCCCGGACCCAGAGGCCTTTACCAAAGTGAAAGGAGGTGGTCGGGAAAGAGAAAGGGCGCACAGCCAGTGACCTGGCCATGGAGCCGCCGCAGTGACTGGGTGTGGGGACCGAGCGAGAGGCGGGGCCGAGGCGGAGGCCTGAGAGTGTAGGGGCCGAGGGCAGGTGCTGGGTACTGATCCCTGAGGAACTAGACCTGACCATTGGGGCCGTGCCCTGCTTTTCCTTGGGCTGGATCTGGAACCCTCAGAGTAGGTGTTGGAGTGCTGCCCACAGTCCGCGGGGGGTGGGGGTGGGGTCCCGGGATTGGGATGATACTTTCTCGAACCCCCAACCAAACCACCATCCTGGACCAGCAATCAGATCATTCCTGCTCTGTGGAGATGGGGAGGGTGTTGGCTTCTTTCAGAGTGGCCTATACAGCTACAGCTGGGATCCCCCAGCCGGCCCCCTCCCCTCTCCACCAGGGCACTTTGCCAAGTCCCTGCAGGATTTTCTCGACTTCCTCTGGCTTTTCCTGGGTGTGGTTGGGGTGGGGTAGAGGGCTGTGAAAGTCCAGAGACCCTCCCCCTGCCTGGCTTATGTGTGGCAGTGGGGGTGGGGGCACATGAGGCTCCGTAGTGGCTGAAGGGGTTCCTACAGATGCCGCAGTCCTCAGCCTCCCAGCAGCTGGCCAGGTGGACAGGCTACCCATTGTCTTTCACCTACCCCTGCCCCCCCACTCCCACCCCCAGGCCCTTGCAGAAGCCCAGGCCCGGGCTCCCGGAAAAGGGCCTCTCTTCCCAGGCACCTTTCCAGGGAGTTCATGGGCCCACAGGCCTGTTCCTGTGGGGGCTGCCTGGAGGTGTTATGTGTCTTAGACTTAGTCAGAGCAGGTGCCCAGAGGGCACCTGGAGGAGATGGAGGGTGAGGCCGTCTTGAGCTGCCCCAACTTGACTTTGTGGTTCCTGCCTGCCTTGACTGCATGGGCTGTGGAGCCTGAGGAGGGGCCCTTCCTAAGGGGCCAGTGGTGTTCAGCATGAGTGTGGGCTCCTATAATCCAGGGCTGATCCATTTATCTCCACATATTTCTGTCTAAGACTAGGGTCAGATATAGATGTTTGGCTGGAACCACTGAAGCCAGAGTAAGGGGAGGGCTCAGGCCCCTAGTCTGGCACTGTTCCTTTAGTGGAAGGAGGACCAATGACCCCTGCTCCTGTATCCATTCCAGGTTCGAGTCTGGCGGTACTTGAAGGGCAAAGATGTCGTGGCCCAGGAGAACCTGATGGATGGTGGCAACAAGGTGGTGATCAGTGGCTTTGGAGACCCTCTCATCTGTGACAACCAGGTGTCCACTGGGGACACCAGGATCTTCTTTGTGAACCCAGCTCCTCCTTACCTATGGCCAGCCCACAAGAATGAGCTCATGCTAAACTCCAGCCTCATGCGGATTACTCTTCGAAACCTGGAAGAGGTGGAGTTTTGTGTAGAAGGTGTGTGGTGAGGTTCATGCAGGGGGTGGTGGTGGCCAGGGTACAGTCAGAGAGGGTAGCAGGTGTGGTCAGAGGGGACAGGTTTGAAGATGGTGAAATGTCCAGTTGTCCTCTGGGAAGACTGGGTTGTGGGAGGCATAGGAAAGTTTGCTTAGGCTAGAGCAGGCTTTGTCATGCTGTCTGGCTGTGGTCCGACCTCAGCCCTTACTGGCTCCCTAGCCTTGCTGCACCTCTAGACATCCAGAAGTCACCAGCCGTAAGCATTTAGATATCTTTCTTCATAAGTTGACAAGAAGAGACTGGTCTCTTCTGCTTTCTCTCTAGTTCCTCTTCTCCAACACTCCACTGCTCTCCTTAGAAGGCCCTTTTCTAGGGTAGAAGCTACCTTAGGTGAATGGATATTAGCTGGGATGTTCCTTTAGAAGCCCAAACATCTGTCTAGTCTGGGCCCAGGTGTTTGAGCAAACCACTGGTGTTTCAGCACAAAGATTGTGGGGTGGAGGCTACCCTGTGTGTTCCAGGGGTCCATGGTTGTGGTTTCTGAGATTTGCTTTACCAGGTAGGTGTGGAATCCCTAAAGCCTTTGCCAGCCAATTTCTGGGAGGTGATCAGAATCATGATAAACCAAGTCTTCCCCTCCCTTAAGACAACCCCAACTGATATTTGCTCAGAGAAAGTGTAGGAACTTGTCTCTTCCACATCCTGTCTGTTCTTTCTTGGAGTGTTTGCTGTCTGTCAAGAAAGATGGAGAATGGAGAGTGTGGGGGATGGAGAGAAACTTCCTGTCCAGGGCAGTGGTGAGGGTTGTGCCTTCCGGTGCTCTGATGTGCTCTGTTGGCCAGCAGGGAAGTCCTTTCTTCTATCTGCCTTGTGGCTTTGCTGCTGGCTTGGTTCCTCAGAGGTATTTCACTTTGGCCCTGGAAGTGCTGTACAGGGGGAACAGCAGGACTGTACAGGGGGAACAGCCAAAAGGCCTTTCCCCCAGCTGCAGTTAGTTGCTTGTGGTGTGCCTCCAGGTACGGGTTGTTTTTTTTTTTTTTCAGTACCCAGGATTGAACTCAGGAACACAGCACTTGCCAGGCAGGCACTTTTTCCACTAAGCTATCTCCCTGGCCCTGCCTCCAGGTCCTGGATCCAGCCCTTTTGAGATAAACTCTGCTATGAGGACCTGAACCTGGCCGGCCTAATTCAGGGACCAGGGACCTGGCCCTGCCCTGCCCTGGAAGCTTGTGGTCTGGAAAAAAAGATGGTATAAGTGATGTCCCGCTTTGGGGTGGGTGGGAGGCCAGAGAAGGAAGGTCAGAGCCCAGCAATGTCTCATCTTTGCTAGATCCAGAAGGCAATCAATCATTAACCCTGTGGCTGGGTGGGTCCAACCTGAGGGTCCGTGACTCAGTAACTGAGGTCCAGCTGTGGGGTCAGAGGTCACATGGAGGGCGGGTCACTCTGGGCAGAGCAGGGTGTGGCATCTCTCCAAAGTTGCTCTGTCCATGCTAGGCCCTGGTACTGGTGTTGGGAAGGCTAAGGCTGAGCTGTGGGACAGGCTCTGGTGGTGTGACTGGACCTACTGTGTGTCTACTGTGGCTGGTGGCCACACAGAGTCCTTCCTAGGATTGAAGTCCAGTGGGAACCTGGACCCACAGCCAGTGTGCAGCTGGCTAAGAAGAAGACTTCAGGGAAGCTGGTTTTCTGGGCTCTGACGAAAGGTGCTAGGCCCACAGGGACCTGTTTGGAAGCAGAGCAGAGTCCCAAGCTGGAGAAGGGCCACCCTCAGTCTGTGTGGGGTGGGAGTAGTGGTTAAGGACTCAGGACTTCACCATCCCTTACTCCAGTGGGCACAAACCAACTCCTCCCCGCTGAGACATAGTCCTGCCCTGCTTCTCGAGCCTTCTTTTCCTCAGTTTCTTCCTGACCAGCTGTGGTTTCCTGACCCTGTCCAGTCAGCCCAGCCCCCAGCTCCCAGAAAGGCTCCTCCCTGGTCCTTGCCTGAGGAGCTACATTCTTGGCATAGCTGAGACAGGTATGTGCCCCTCCCTTGCGCCACCTTTGGGCAGGGGAGGCTGTTCCTCCAGAAAGGAATATCCTCCACCCCCTGCTTTATGTAAGTAGTGGCTTGCTTCTCCCCAGGTTTTGGGCAGTCCTGGATCACCTTGGGTCTGGGCACTTTACCACCTGCTGTCCTCCACCAGCTTCAGGGGCAGTCTTGGTGCTTCCCTGAAGCCCCCAGAAGGGACACAGGCCTGGCTGGGGCCTTTCCTTTCAACAGGAGCAGAGAAAGGAAGTGTTGTCTGACGCTGCCAGGGCCTGGCAGAGGGGCAGGGCAGGGGGCCAGGGTTGGAGTGAGCTTGGTGCCAGCCCAGGGCTGAAGCCCAGGGTCTTGGTGGCCATGCTTCCTGATCCCACTTGGCCAGATGGGTTCTTGCTGAGGGCTTCCACTGCGAGACCACCTGCCTAAGGCCTTCAGAAGGGTAGTTCTGGGGCAGGCTGGAGATACAGTGTCAGGGCAGTGGGTAAGTGTGTCCTGAACCCCCAATCTGGGGTACCTGGGCTATGGGAAAGTGCTGGCTAGGGCAAGCTCCTCTGACATCTGGTAGTCATGTCATATACTCCCTCTTGCTAAAGTAGGTGGTGGTTGTGCTCCCCCCACCCAGTTCCACCAGTGCCCCTGACAGCCCCTTCCCTAGGCAGGTCCAGGCTTGAGGCTGCCTGCCACTCTGATCTGCCTCTAGTTTGTGAAGGGGCTGCCCACCTGGGATGCTGATAGAAAGCCTGAAGGACAGAATTTGTCCCTCTGGCTTTACCTGGGCTCACCTGATGGCCCTGGTCCCTGGGGATGGGCTTTGTTGGACAGGTGATGGTGACCCATGAATTTTGTAAGGTGATCTGCCTTGAGGCAGGGGAAGCAGGCAGGACTGAGCTGGTGGATAGAAGGCTGTTGGCTTTTTACAGAACCACCCCACCCCGTGGATTCCCCACCAGAGAAGAGCCCCAGTTTCCATTCTTCCCAGCAAATTAGAAATGGAAGTTTTTTGAAAACGCGGCCCCCATTTACGGGGCCTTCTCTAGTAGGTGCCGGGTGGCCCTAGTAGCACCCTGCGGACCTGTGCTATGGGACAAGACACAAGACGGATGTCTTCTGTCAGGGCCACAGCCTAGGTCTAAGGTTGCAAAGCATAAGGAGACTCTGTGCTAGAGGAGAGTTGCAGCCAGCCCTAGGTTATTGCAGCTGTGTTCCTGGCTCTCTGCTAGTACAGGCCAGGCTGCACTGCTTCCTTCCTGAAAGGTTAATGCCCCCAGCCCAAAGGATCAAAGCCTGTCACATCACCACAGGAGGGCGGAAAACAGCCGTAGAAACCTGCCCTTTCCCTCTGTGGACCTCTGCCTGTGGGACCCAGGCCAGTGGCTCACTTCAGAGCTCAGGCTGAGGCCTGCCAAGTTCTGAGCCCCCACCCTGTACCCTAATAGCACCCCCCCCAGCCACACCCACTTCCCCACACTTACCAGCTAGAGGGGTCTCTGACTCGGCTACTCATGGGCTGCACTGGTGAGCTCAAGCTTTGCAGGATTGTCCCGGAGCTGCTGAAGGCCTCTGGTGGAGCCCCCAGAGAGAGTAACCCCCCACTTCTCCCCATACTGAAAACTTTTTCTGAGGAAGCCCCCTGCAGGGGCTGCTCACAGCAGGACCTGGGAAAAGAGCTGGCCTCTTCCGTCCTCCCCTGCACTGTTCTCCAGGAATGGAGCCGTGGGAGAGAGGAGTGCTCTCCTCACAGGCAGCATTGTCTCCAGCTGTGACCTGCTCTGTGCTTGGATGTGAGTGTGCGTGTAGCTGCAGCCCTTACTGTGCTAATCTGTGCTCCCCACGGTTCTTCTAGAGCCCTGGCTGGTCTAGTGTCTGACTGCTACATTCTCCTTTCACTGGAGGTTGCTCTGATCAGGCCAGTGGGTTGGGAGGAAGCAGCCTCTGACCTCATGCACATACAAGTCCCAGCCTCCTTGGTCTGGGCTGTCCAGCCTGCCCCACCTGTGGTGCTCAGCTGGGCCCTGTGCCTGCTGGACGGCTGATATCTTCTGAGGTGATGGTGAGGAAGGGGAGGTGTTCCAGGACTGGTCATGTGTGCTATCCCTTACATACCTGTCAGACCTAAGGCTGATACAGATGCCCCTGCCCCTGGCCAGAGGCAGACTGGGCAGCTAGACGTCAGGCAGGGATAGAGCCCTGGGCCATGCTTGTCTCCTGCCATGCCCCTGGGCCCTGGGTAAAGAGTGAGTATACACTGTACTGGTTGGAGGGGAGGGGATGTGAGCCAGTCTGGGTGTGAGGAATTTTTGCGGCCTCAGCCGGAGAGCCCTGGGGCTGGACTCAGGTGGATTCCCAGGTACTGTGTATGGGAGGGAGTCCCTGGGTCCCCCTTTGAGCCCTACTGCAACACCCTGCCTCCTCTGAGGCTCTGCTGCTGCTTCTTCTTTTTTTTTTTGGTGGAACTGGGGATTGAACTCAGGCCCTTGTGCTTGCCAGGCAAGCGCTTATTCTACAGAGCCATCTCCCAGCCCCGAGGCTCTGCTTCTGTGCCTCTTTTCCTCACCTCGTGTTCTCCATTCCCTCCATTCCTCTCTGCCTTTCCTATTCTAGCATCTGCCTGCCAGTGCCTCTACACAGAGCCCCCCCGGAACTTAGCCCTCTGGTACTGGCTTACATAACCCCTGCTGTGCCCACTCCTCTTCTGTGTCTGGTGCCTCTTCCCTTGCCCAGCATGACTGGACTCGGCAGGGCCACAGGCTCTCCTCATTCACTAGGCACTGACTGAGACTGAGCACTGTCCTGGCAGCATTCCTTTTTGCCTGGAGGTGGGTTTTTCTGGCTGAACTGGGAGATGAGAGGCAGAAGGTATTGATGCTCCACCCTATCTGTGCACTTCTTGGTGGTCAAGGCAGATGCTTGAGCTAGGTGGGGCCCTCCAGATCCTAAAGCCTGAGAGTCTACCCTGCAGGCCTTTGTCCCTGTCCATGCTGGTCTCTGTGCTGGCCTACTGCTAGCTGGAAGCCTCCTGAGCCTGCCCCCAACTTGGCTTTGGTAGTTCCCATCTGATCTGTGCAAGTCCCCTCCCTTTACTGTCTATGTGCCAACATCACCCCAGGAAGCCACATTGCCCGCCTGCCTGCCTGGCTGGACTTCATTTGAAATGCCATGTATATCCTCCCCAAGGCCTCCTGGGGACTCTGAGCCCTGCCCAGGGAGGTGCAGACAGGCTGGTTAATCATGGGGAGGGGCCCTGCATTAAGGGGGGCTCAGCCAGCTCAGTAAAAGATGAGGTAGGACGTCAGCCCTGCTGTGCCCCTGCCCCATATTTTCATTTGTTTTCTCCAACTGCACAGTGAGCTGTCACAGACAGGGACTAGGTCGTTGGTGGGCACAGGCCTGACCCAGCACCTCTTGGCTTCACCTGAGGCAGGAAGGTGACCTGGACCCACAGCCTGAGACTGGTCAGAGAACCACCCAAAGCGGCCTCCATCCCAGTAGCTGGCTGTTACCCAGCAGTGAGGCCATACGATGGAGGCCATTGCTGTGCCTTCACAGGGCTAGCCACACAGCAGTGCTCTGGGTCAGAACAGGGCAGCTTGTGCATACTGAATGCCATGGAAGCTCCTTTCCCTGCTGAACAGTATGTCCCATGACCCTTGCAGATGAGGGATCACCACAGTTCAGTTGGCATGGCCTGTCTGAAGGTCATGGCTCAGCAAGGCCCTTGCCTTGGAAGGCAATGCTTGTGTGAGCACCAGTCTTAAGGGCAGCTCTACTCTAAGGGTGGAGATCACTCCCACCTCCATACACCACCCTTTCTGGAGAGAGGGAGGAGTATTTGCATGTGAATGAGGAATAGGTTGCCAATGGGCTGGCTCGTTGCTCCCTTTAGGCCCATTCTTCTGGTTCCCTAGCAGCACCCTGGTGGTCACACTTGAGAACAGGAGATGGGGTCATCTCCAGTGTGTGCCTGGACATGGAGTGGAGTTAAGGATGCATGTGTGACATGCCACGCCACAGGCATTCAGTGGACGTGCCTGTGTTCTGGGAGAGCTGGGATGCCTGGTGTGTGGCAGCTGTTAAATGCGTGTTGCTAGGGATGTGAGCCCAGAGTTCAGGGGGGTTGGTTCCTGGCTCAGAATATCCTGTACATTCTGGGGCATAAGCCTGCGTGGGCTGGTCAAGGCTGAATGATTTTGCCTGAAGATCCCAAAATAGCTGCAGTAGCCTGAGCTCCCCTCCCCACTAGGCCAGGGCTTCAATGGCTCTTTGTCTCTGGAAGGCATCCCGCCCCAGCAGAGGCCTGGTAGGGTCAGGCTGTCTGTCTGGTTGCCCCCCACCCCCACCCCCTGCCCAGAGCCCATTCCCAGTGTTAGTCTGGGCCAGGCCCACATCCCCATGAGAATGTCTGGAAGGTTGCCTGTTGGGACTGCTTCAGTGGCATATCCCAGGGTCTCTGCTGAGGGGGACAGTCCATCCCAGGCAGCATCCTTTGCCTCCCCTGCCTGCCAGCCTCTCCTGGGAGCTCTCACTACCACTCAGACTCACTTTTCTACACCATTTCCTGGACTCATGCAGAGCTTACCCCAGACTCCTGGGTTGCAGGTTACAGTAGTGTACAGCAGTGTGTGGGTATGCAGCTTGCCGGGCATTGCCAGGGCTTGGACCCTGGCACTTTATCCAGCAGTAAGAAGAGAATGGAAAAATGTGCAGGCAATTCTGGGCTCCCCATACCAGATTGTTCCTCTCTGAACTCTAGGCTAACCTCTGCCCTGAGAGAAAAAAACTCAGACCCTGTGCTGGGCACCACATGCCAGGACATGATCCATGTGCCTCAGGCAGTGCTAAGGTCCAGTAGGGGTGTTTGGGGGACAGGGGCTCCCTGAGGAGAGGGTGAGGCAAGCCTGGGCCAAGAGCTCCAGGTGGCTTGTGGGGGGCCCATAGTCACCTTGGATTTTCCTGCAAGGTTTCATTTTAAACAATGGGCATGGGGACCACAAGAAATGGTAAGACAGGGGCCAGGGAGATAGCTCAGTAGGTTAAGTGCTTCCCTGGCAAGCACAAGGGCCGGAGTTCAATCCCTGGTTCCACCCAAAAAAAAAAAAAAAAAAAAAGAAAGAAATGGAAAGACCACTAACACAACCCACCTTGGGAAGTTTGACTCTTGGCCTGTGATGGGTTGGGGGCTGCTCCCATGTGGGAATGGCACATACCACCTGGCTTCCCTGCCAAGGTGGGATTGGTGAGGGTTGGGGCAGCTGGAGGCAATTGAGTTGCCTGGGCAGGGTAGGGCCAGCCTGTGGGATGGAGGGACCATAAGAGGGTCAGCTGGAGGCCATGGTGGCGTATTTATGGCCAGTGTGTAGAACCCTAGGCCCCAGAGACTTGGCTAATGATGCCAGGAGCAGGGTGTGGTCAGTACTTCTTTCCCAGAGTGGACTTTGAAGAGGCCAGAGAGTAACAAGTTGACTAGTAGGGACTGTGAGAGTGACTGCAGCTGGGCTGAACACACTGCATGCTATCTGAAGGAGTCCTGGAAGGGTCTGACCTGGCCTAGAGAAACCATGTGTAGAGAGGTACAGAAGAGCAGGGCCAGTAGGAGGTGTAGAGGTGGCACTGAGGTCTCTGAAGGACTACAGGTGGGCAGGGTGTGTTGACACAATCCTGTCATGCCAGCACTCTGAGGCTGAGGCAGGAGGATCGCAAGATCCTGCCCAACCTGTGTAATTTAGTGATTTCATTAGATCATGTCTCAAAATAAGTGAGTTGGAAATTGAGGATGTAGTTCAGTGGAAAAGCTCTAGGTCCAACCATCAGTAATGTGGGAGGGGGAACCCTGCAAAGAAAAAAGGACTGCTGATGCTGGTAGTGGAGGTGTTGTGTTGGTGGTTTTGGCCACAGAGATGATCACACGGGCGACCCCAACTGCTGAGGGTGGATGTGACTGATGGGGATGGTGGAGGCAGAATGGAATCCCCAAGGCTGCAGGGAGCTGGATCCTGGCAATGGTGACCTTGCCCAGGCTGGATGCTGGCTCATGGGGGCATAAGACCCCAAGTTCTCAAGGTGGCCTCTGGGGGCCGCACCAGGCCCACAACTCAATTGCGTGTTTTCTCCGCACTAGAAGGCAGCAGAGGGTACACGGGTGGTTTTGGGTATTGGCGAAGGTGAACAAGGCAGTGTCTGGACCCGTCAGCTTGCCTCCACTGGGCAACTCGCACTACACCTGCGGCCCTTGGACCTTGTCTGGGGACCCCAACCAGCAGCAGCACAAATATGATGGCAAATGCAGACATACACAACCCCAAAACCTAGTCCTTTGTGCAGACCCGAGCCCTCTTGGGGACGCAGCCTCAGCCCCGCCCGGCCCGACCCACCCCGCGAGCAGCCCTGCTACCGGTCCAGTACCTACCTCTCAGCTTGGCTCGGGACCCAGACCCTAGCACCCACGCCCGGCCTCTCGCCCCTCCCAGCGCTGTCCCTTTTGTGTCACTCAGTCCCAGCCTCTCTCTCCCGCCCGTCCTCCGAGCTCTGAACTCGACTCCCAGCGGGCGGGCGCTGGGGTCCCCTGAGGCGCCTTCCTTTGTCTGTGCTCCCCGCCTGCCTGCCTCCTTGCTGGGCCCGCACTCACCGGCCTGGCAGGGCGAGGATCTGCTGCAGAGCGGGGTGCCTCTGCAGCCGCCTTTCTTCTTTGCGCGCCGCGCTGCCCGCGCTTCCCCGCGCTCCCGCTTGTCAGGCGCGCGCCGCCAGGCCCTGCTCGCGGGTCCCGCAGCTGCTCCTGAGCCCAGCTCTGTCCCACCCTGGGACGGAGCCAGCTGGTGGTGGCTGGCTGGCGTGGCCCAGCCCTGCATCTTCTGTCTCTGAGCCCACCTTGGGGATTTCTTTCTACTCGTGGACAATTCTGCACACCTCCTGGGATACGTCTGTGGGACTGGAGCAGGCCTGGAGCTTCCCAGGCTGGGGCTGCGGCAGAACTTTGAGAGGGACGCTTCCCTGGACCCAGTATGGGTGGAGTAGCCCCTGAGAGGCCTAAGGGCGCTCCGTGAGGACCCACGTACAGAGCAGAGCGGGCGGAGCCAGGCCATGCCACCTCTGCCGCTGGAACGCCGTCCTGGGCCGCAGCCCGGTGTCTCCGTGCTGGTGCGGTACTTCATGGTCCCCTGCAATGCCTGCCTCATCCTGCTGGCCACCACGGTGCTGGGCTTCGCTTTGCTGCTCTTCCTCAGCAACTGTAGGTGGCTCCTGGGTGTGGCTGTGTGGGTGTGGCCCAAGGGCCCTGCTTTTTAGCTGCCAAGGGTTCTAGGGTAGGCAGGTCGAGACACAAAGTCAGGGGCCCTGATGGCTCATATAGAATGGCCCATTTCTTGGGCCCCTTGAAGGGCTGAGCCTCCTCTTGCTGGGCAGAAACAGCTTCCTAGAGGGAGTGGTGGAGGGGCAGGGCCTGGGGCTGGATTCTTCTGGAGAAGCAGGTGGCTGCACTCAGATAAGTGCCCGGCCAGACCATGCCTTGGACAGGACAGAGAGGCACGGGGTACTGGCTTCATCGTCCAAGGCCTCAGCTGGCCTATAGAAGTCAGGGCTGGGCACCTGAGCTTTCCAGCCCAGATCTCTGGGGAAGTAGTGGGGTGAGCAGAAGGGTGGGAAGAGAACACTGCAGGCTGTCTAACTTGGAGGTTATCTCTTCCAGACAAACTTGGGACCCACTTCACGCCAGCTCCTCTGATGCCTCCTGATGGTGAGTAGGGTGCCCAGTGGGCAGAGACCCTTGGGGTCGGGCTGTGCTGTGGTGTGGTACTCTAGGGGTAGCTGAAGAGTCCACAGAATGGGTGGTGCCAGAGGCTCTGTCTCAGCTGCTGGCCAGTATACATGAGCAGGGCCCTGACTCCAGAGGGTCTCAGCCTCCAAATTGGGAAAAGTTCTGAAACCTGAAGTGGTGAGGTGATGTTGACAGCAGCTGTGGGGTGCTGCCGCATTCAGAGGTCAGAGTTTTCAGTGTGGCTGCGGTTTCCTTTCTTTGTCCTCCTTTTCTTGCTTCAGGAAGAGGTGGGGCTGGACAGCAGCTGGAAACAGAAGCACAGAGAAAAGGCTGGTGGGGGCAGGGCAGGACAAGGCTCCGCTGGACCAAGGACAGCTGTCTGAGGAGGGCCTTGTGGGCCTGGGTCTGCGGTCTGGAGCATGGAGGGTGAAAATGATGGTGGGGGTGTGTTGGCCTTTCTGACTATTTTGTGGCATGTGGTAGGCCTCCCAGTGAGGTGCTGGTGTGGGGCCTCCATGATTATGCTAATGTGAGGGACAGGAAGCTGGTGTTAGACTCCGAGGACAAGGTGGGGTCCAGAGCTCTTCACCCAGCCTGGTCCTTCTGCAGGGGGAGGAGTTCCAGGTTCACTCTGAGCTCCTACCCACCCTCTGAGTCCTGTGTGGGGAGGGTACCTGTCCAGGTCCACAGGCATCACAAGTCCAGAGCAGTATACATACAGCGTAGAGCTGTGACTTTGTCCTGACCAAGATATGGGTAGGGAGAAAATGGGAGAATCCTGTGGTGAAGGCTGCCTCATTCTGGGGCTGGGGCCCTGGGTTCTCCCAGAATACACCCCCACCTTGCATAGGCTACATCCCTTGCTGGGTCTTGGCAGGTGTGGTGGGGTGACTAGAGGGTGTGCATGGCCCCCATTGGGCTGCTCCCATGAGACTGTGAAGGCCTCACCATGCCAAGCTCTACCAGGAGTGAGGGGAGCCAGCGATAGGGTATTGCTTTCTCCCTTCCTGAGATACAAAAGCCCTTTGGGTCAGGGAGGATGACATCACTGTGTGGTATGTGGCTTGAGTAATTTGTAAGAACTCCAAGAACCACTGGCTGCAGAGTATGTGACGAGGTAGGTGGGCAGGCAGCTTATCTTAGACTCCTGTTCCTCTCCTGGATTTAAGGACAGGAGGGTATGACCCAGAACAGTCAGCACTTTTTTTAAAATTTAAGACAGGGTCATGGCCTGTTGACTTCAAGCTCACTGTGTTATCCAGTGTGGCCTTGAATTTGCAGCAACTCTGTGGCTTCAGCCTCCCAAATGCTGGGGTTATAGGCATGTACCAACATGCTCAGCAGTCCTCACATTTACTGGAAGGGTCCAAGCTCTCCCAGCGGTATGGGCTGTGAGGAGAAGACCTGTCTGGGCTGGGGCCCCGGGCTGGGCACTGAGTGTCCATAGCCCATGGGCAGAAGGCATGGCACTGTTTTGGTTGAGGTGGGAGGACCCTACCCCTCTCAACACCCTCAGCCTCTTGGCAGCCCAGAGAGCTGCTGAGCTTCCCCCTTCCTGACACTCTGCCCTTTCCTAGCCGCATACATGGCTCCCTTGTCCACACGCAGCCAGCCCGTGCATGCTCATGGATACTGGGCACGACCATCACTATATATGGAGACCCTCATAACGATACAAGTAGGGTTTGGGGCTTCTGTTCCGTCTCCCAACCCTGAGACCAGGAGGAACGTTAAATATACCCGCCGCAAACGGTGGCTATAAAAAGCTGATGCCGCCTCCGGGACTCAGGCCCAGCAGACACTGTCGTGCAGAGCTGAGCAGGCAGGAATGGCAGGGCCTGAGAGGTGACCCAGTGGAGGCCCAGGGCTGATAGGCACCCTTGTGCCACCTGGATTTATGAGGGGTGGTATGAGCAAAGACCAGACATGTCTACTGTTCACTAGCAATGTGACTTTGTCTGGGGGGCCTTCCTAGGCCTCACCTTCCTCTCCTGCCCAGTGCACCTTAGGAAGGCATTGTAAGGACTTGTGTGGTGCGTGGCTACCATGACAGGCTCTGTGTTGGTTGTGTGCAGTCCCTGGGTACACCATCTAGAGGTGGTTTCTGCCTGCGCCTGCCTTTATGTTCAATTGAGAAACTTACATTGAGTTTCTGTGACCTCCTAGTCCCAAGGGGAGGGATGCAATTCACAGCCATTGGAAGGTGCCAGATGCACAGAGCAGCCCCCTACCCACCCTAATGGAGTGTAGGAAGAAGTGAGGGGTTTTGCAGGTGGTTAAGTGTGCAGCCAGAAGCAGCTGTCCCTGGCTTTGAGTTCAGAACCTTGAGAGAGGTCTGACAGGACCAGGGCAACCAGATGGACAGAAAGTCTGAGCCCACAGCCCAGGCATAACAGCAGGCAGATGAGCCTAGGTATAGGGAGATGACAGGCCATGACCCTGGGGGAGACTTCAGCAGGTGCAACTGAAGCCCAAGAGCATCAATAAGTGCGTACTGATTCAGCCTGGGGGAGAAAGGGCTGAGTCAAAGAGGGTTCCCACAGGGCTTGGGGTAGGAGTTAGGAGGATGGCAGCCAGGCACCAAGATAGGGGCAGATGTGGTTTGAGCCAGAGCAGACCAGAGGCCCATGGTCATGGAAATCCTACCACTGTATCGTAGCGCACAATCTAAGTAGTGCCTGGCCCGGGTACCCTATGCTTTACTAGGGAATGAGTCCTGTTGTCTCCTTTCACAGAAGGCGGTGCTGAGGCACAGTGAGGGAAAGCATGCCCCTGGGATCTGAAGGGGCACAGCGAGTGGGGGATAAGAGCATGGTGGGGTAGGAAAGGTAGGCCAAGATCCACTCAGCCTCCTGGGATGGAGGCCAAGATGCCCGACTGGCCAATAGCCTGTGGTGGGCTGCTGTCATGACAACAGCTGGCTGCAGCCTCCAGTGCACCCTATGCTTCAGGAGCTGAGAGAGACTTCCTTCTGCTTCATTTCCTGAGCTTACTGGGAGGAGAAAGAAGGGGAGGTGGCCTTCCCACGTCTTACTAATGATAATTGGATCCATTAAATGTTCATTGGCTCCAGATGGCTGCCACATCAATGTGGGTGGAGCCTGAGGAGCCTGCTTACTCTCAACCCCAGGGCTTTACTTAACAGGGATGTCCTGGACACTGTCTCTAGTGACTCTGGGTTTATTTATTTATTTTTTTGAGACAGGGTCTCATTGAGCAGATCAGGCTGGTCTTGAACTCATTGTGTAGCCCAGACTGGCCTTAAATTTACAACCGTCCTCCTGCCTCAGCCTCCCAAGTGCTGAGATTACAGGCATGAGCCACCTTACCCAGCTATGACTCTGGGTTTAAATGTCCCTTTGTGGGCCCAAGGACCGGCTGCTCTTTCTGCTACTGTGGAGGCCTGTGATGGAGTCTGTTCTGCAGCAAGAAGAACTGGGATATTAGGAAATAAAGTGATTGCATGGGGTGAGATGGAAGCTCAGGAGGACAGCAAGGGAATTGCCCATGTGATCCCAGGAAGAGATGCCACCATCAGCCTGAGAACAGAGTGGCCTGAGGGATGCAAGGCATGTAGGGCTATGGGGCTAGGGACAGTGAAAGGAGGACTCAGTACAGTTCAGGGGAGAAGGGAGCACAGTGCAGGGCAAGGGGAGAGGGTGATTGAGGAAGAGATGAGGAGAGTTAGGCTTAGGGTGAGAGAGTGGAAGGTGCAGGGGCAGGTGTGCTGGACCTGGCTGCTTCCAAGAAGGGCCTAGAAGCTGGTGGCCTGGGCTTGGGATAGTCAGGTGAGAACTGATGCTGATAGAAGAGAGGACTCCTGAGCAGCACAGGGACATAGACTGCATGCAGGGTGACCACGGGCCTCTTGCTGTATTGGGGCTTCTCTGAGAACCCTGTCCTTTTGCGAGGACACAGACATCCTATCTGCAGTTGTACAGTATGGGTGGGTAGTGGTAGCAAGTCCTCCAAGAGGAAAGGCTCTGGAGCTAGTGGGAACCCTGTGAGTATATGCAAGCCAATCAGAGGCTGTGCTGGTGTGTGGGAATTCATACAAACCCTGTTCTGACCACTTCTCCTGGCCACCTGCAGTGTGCAGGGGAATGCTGTGTGGCTTTGGTGCTGTGTGTGAGCCTAGCATAGAGGATGCAGGCCAGGCCTCCTGTGTGTGCAAGAAGAGCGCCTGCCCTGCGGTGGTGGCACCTGTGTGCGGTTCAGACGCTTCCACCTACAGCAATGAGTGTGAGTTGCATCGTGCGCAGTGTGTCCTCCAACGGCGCATCCGTCTGCTCCGTCGTGGACCCTGTGGTGAGTGTGTGCATGTATGTATATTCACATGTGCATAATCATGCATGCATATGTGCTCTGTGGGGAGGAGTGTGGTATGTGACCCCCGTGCTGCTACCCACAGTGTCCAGGGACCCCTGCGCCAATGTGACCTGCAGCTTTGGCAGCACCTGTACCCGCTCAGCTGATGGGCAGACAGCCACATGCCTGTGCCCGTTGACCTGCCATGGGGCCCCAGAGGGCACCGTGTGCGGCACTGATGGTATCGATTATCCTGGTGAGTGCCAGCTTCTGCTTCATGCCTGCACACGCCAGGAAAACATCTCTAAGAAGTTCGAAGGCCCCTGTGGTGAGTGCAGCCCACTGCTCCTGTACATGCTGCTTCTCTTGTGCATTTGTGTGTGAACATGGTGAAAGGCCTGACTGGCCCTCCCACCCAGACCCCTGCCAAGGAGCCCTCACTGACCTGAGCCACGTCTGTCGTGTGAACCCACGTACACGGCGCCCAGAGATGCTTCTGCAGCCAGACAGCTGCCCTTCCCGGCACTCACCTGTGTGTGGGGATGATGGGGTCACTTATGAAAATGACTGCACCATGGGCCGCACTGGAGCGGTCCGGGGCCTGCTACTCCAGAAAGTGCGCTCTGGCCAGTGTCAACCTCGAGGTGCGTGCCTCCCAGATCCCCTGCTGCATGTGACTGCCTGCCCCTGCACACCGTACACACACACCACTACCTGTGTGCCCACGGGTTCCTGCTGGTGCTGGTGTGAGGCTGATGCCCTGGCCTCTCTGATCCTCTTGGGTCCCCACAGACCAGTGCCCTGAGGCTTGCCAGTTTAATGCCGTGTGCCTGTCTCGCCGTGGCCGTCCCCGCTGCACCTGTGACCGTGTCACCTGTGATGGAACCTACAAGCCCGTGTGTGCCCAGGATGGGCACACGTATGACAATGACTGTTGGCGCCAGCAGGCAGAATGTCAGCAGCAGCGTGCTATACCCGCCAAGCACCAGGGCCTGTGTGGTGAGCACCCTGGGGCCAGGCCGGAGCCACTGGTCCTGCATTAGCCCTTGCCTGACATCACACACCATCTTCATCCCTCATCTTACACCTCCTGGGTCCTGGGCCAGGGCGGTTGCTCTGGGTGATGGGGGGCTGTGATGGTACCTGGGACCTCTGCGGTGAAGGGACAGATGCAGGCCTGCACTTGCCTATGCTGGTCACTGCAAGCCCTCTGGTCCACCTGACCGTCAGTCCGTACTTTATGAGGGCACAGACAGCCTGGGTGGGCAGGAGTAGACATGACACTGGGCTTCCTACATGCCTGGGACACACAGCCACCAGCTCCCTTAGCCAGCATCTCCATTGGGATCTGAGGGGCCAGTGGAGGGCAGAGGCAGCTGACCAGTGTGGTTGGAGTGTCCTGTGGGGACCAAGGCTGCTGTGGCTCTGCCTGCCCCTGTCCAACTCGGTCAGTGCTCTGTCCATCTTTCTGGTTTCTCTTTCTGCGTGTCTTCTCTGGTCCTTCCCTCTCGGCTCCGCCTCTTGTGTCTTCCAGCCTGACCTGCTGGTAGGATGAGGTGCCGCGCCTGCCCGCCAGGAGCCCACAGTCCGAGGTCTGCCCCCGGCATGGCTGGGGGGGGTGGCTCGCTGCTGCCTGGCCTTGTAGTCCTCAAGAGCAAGTGGACAGACACCTCCTCCCCTGTGCAGCCCTGGGGGTGACTCTGGGGTGCAGATGCCTCCCACCCATGGAGAGAGAGCCCCTTATATGCATGGGTGTCCTGGGGCTGCTGGTGGTCAGGACTCAGTGCCCTGCTGTGGGTAGTCAGGAGACTCCTGTGTGCCCATCCACCTCTGTCGTGTCTGTCCCTTTCTCTGCTATGTCCTGTGCATTTGGCTCTTCCTCCACCATCCCTACCCTGGGAGAGGGATGCTGCGTGGGGCCAGGGGCTTTGCCCACAGCGGTGGGGGCAGGTGGGCTGAGTGCCGTGTCCTCCCCAGCCCAGGCCCCCTCCCCATGCCACGAGGTGCAGTGTGCGTTCGGGGCAGTGTGTGCTGTAAGGAACGGGAAGGCTGTATGTGAGTGCCAGCAGGTGTGTGCAGGCATCTACGACCCTGTGTGTGGCAGTGACGGCATCACGTACGGCAGCATGTGCGAGCTGGAGGCCATGGCCTGTGCCCTGGAGCAGGAGATCCAGCTGGCCCGCCGAGGACCCTGTGGTCAGTGTGGTGGGCTGGTGGGCAGGTGGGCAGGGTGGGGTTCTGGCCAGCATGGTGATTGAGCTCCCTCCACAGACCAGTGTGGGCAGTGCCATTTTGGAGCCCTGTGTGAGGCTGAGACCGGGCGCTGTGTATGCCCCTCTGAGTGTGTGCCCTCAGCCCAGCCTGTGTGTGGTTCTGACGGACACACGTATGCCAGTGAATGTGAGCTACATGTCCATGCCTGTACCCAGCAGATCAGCCTTCACGTGGTCTCGGCCGGACCCTGCCGTGAGTGGGACCATAGGACCTAGTGGGCCAGGGTCCCAGGACCCTACCAAGTTCTGCTGAGCCCTACCCGGCTCTGTCTCCACAGAGACCTGTGGGAGCACAGTGTGTGCCTTTGGGGCAGTGTGCTCAGCTGGACAGTGTGTGTGTCCTCGGTGTGAGCGTCCCCCGCCAGGCCCTGTATGTGGCAGTGATGGTGTCACCTACCCCAGTGCCTGTGAGCTGCGGGAGGCTGCCTGCCAGAAGCAGGTGCAGATTGAAGAGGCCCGGGCAGGGCCCTGCGAGCAAGGTAGACTTGAGCAGCTGTGCGGGCTGCTGGGCACCAGGCTCCAAGGAGTCATCCCGGGTGACACGGCCTTTTTTATAGCTGAATGTGGCTCGGGAGGCTCTGGCTCTGGGGAGGAAGGCGAGTGTGAACGGGACCTATGCCAGCAGCGTGGTGGCATCTGGGATGAAGACTCAGAAGATGGGCCATGTGTCTGTGACTTCAGCTGCCAGAGTGTCCCGAGGAGCCCGGTGAGCGCCCCACACCACGTGACAAGTGGGCGGTGAGGAAAGCACTGAGGCTGCCACACTAACCCCGTGCCTTCCAGGTGTGCGGCTCAGATGGGGTTACCTATGGCACTGAGTGTGATCTGAAGAAGGCCAGGTGTGAATCACAGCAAGAACTGTATGTCGCAGCTCAGGGAGCCTGCCGCAGTGAGTGGGCCCTGCATAGGGAGTGCCTGGATACGTGGGGACGCGTGCTTGTGCACTTGTGTAGTGGCTTAGGTGTGTGTGAGTGTGTATGCATGCTCCCCTGGGCTTGTGGACACGTGCAGTGTTAACTTTGCACTGTTGGTGCATTCTGTGTTGTGCGTTTGTAGTGTGTCTGTGGGCAAGTATGCAGTGTTACCACGTGCTAGGCCAGTCCTTGTTGGAGGTAGCGGGGGAACATGGGCAGGGCGCTCTTTGCGTAGGTGGAGAATGACAGTGATCTGGTACCTCTTGCAAGGTGGCGTACACCAGTCTTCATGAATGTGCTTTTGTGTGTGCACAAATGCATGGCTGCACAATATGTGTAAATGTGTGTGGTTTAGGAGATTCATACATGAATGTGCAAGTACAATGTGTGATCAGAGTGTATAGTGAATATTTACATTTTTAAAATGTGTTACAACAGAAGACACATTGTCATGTGTCTCCCTCAAAATACTCCTTGCTTGAAACACACACATCCTGTCTTTCTTGCTCCTTTCTGAAGCAGTTTTGGAAATCCTCCTTTGTGAATGGTCTTTGCAAGGTGTGATTTAAAATACAATGAATAGGGGCTGGCGAGATGGCTCAGTGGTCTAAAGCACCTACTTGGAACAAGCTTAGCAAACCACAGGGACCACTGTTTAATCCCCCAGCACCACATGC